TGGAATGAACTGCAATGCTAATTAATCTTTTTTGTTTTGTTTTGTTTGTTCTTCCTCCTATGTCCAGCATTCTTTTCTCAATCAGTTTTTTAGATCGGTGACCAGATCAGACTACTTGACTTTGCGACTGGGTTTCATCACGGTAAGGCAGCTAACAAGAGGTTGAGGGAACTCTTGCATATTCCAAGTTTTCAGTATGTTCTCAATTGGCTCCTAGCCTGAACTTTTATTTTTACTTTTTGTGTTTATTATTTCTACTGCAGACTCATTGCAAGGGTAACCCCAAGTTTAATTTTCACACGTACATGGTTCGCGCCCTTGAAGATGATTTTAAAAGAGTCGTTGGTATCAGGCAAGTTATATCTGATGTATTTTTTGCAATATTGAATTTCTTTGTGTACTCATTGGGCAGATTTCCACACACTTTAATGCTTTGGCCAATCTGTCCTTTTTGGTTATGATTCGTTTTGATTCACCATATGGTTTCCTTGGCTGCAGTTGGTATCTGTGGATATTTGTGGTCCTCTTCATGCTTATGAATGTTGATGGTATGATTCTTGTTTTGAACAAACCAGTTTTGCAGTTATGGAGAAATTTTTTTAACATATATGTGGTGTTCTGTTAGACATTTTCCAGGCAGTTTTGCAGTTATGGCATAGATTGCTTTGCCCACTTTCATGAAAAACACTATCACTATAAACAATGACATTCTTCTCTTTTTCTTGCGCAGGCTGGCACGCATACTTCTGGATTGCATTCGTTCCTTTCTTTGTTAGTAATCTTAACATAACCTTGCTATCAGATTTTGTGACCAATTCACATTTGCATTTTATTGCATTTAATCTGCTTTGCTTGCAAAATCAGCATTCATTTCACTCTCCACTTATCATACTTCAGTGAAACGATGCCACTCTAAATCCAGAGCATTGGTATCTATATAATTCAATTCGATCGGTCTTAATTTCCATTAGATATTGACTATTGAAAGCTGAAGCTGATTTTACTTGCTCATATCAAGTGTTTGGAAAAAAAGAGGGTTGCTTGGAGGTTCTTTGGGCTTGACACTTGCATTCTCTCATGTCAATAGGATTGCATGTTAAACCGTGGCTCATTTTGGTCTTTGTTATTGTGACAACTGGTTCACCTCTTGATTCAGTGTTGCATTGTTGATCAATTTCTTTGTGACATGAAAGATGAAGTTAAGGCTAGACCTAGTACCATTGATTTCTTCTTTACAAGAAAAGCTAAAAATGAAGTCCAGAACTATCTCCGAACAAATAAACTTGAGATAATTTTTCAACCCCAAACCATTTCTTCTGTCTTTGTTTATGTATTTGACACTTTTCCATTTGATTTCATAGCTAAACAGAATGCATGATGAAACCATATATGAGATGGTGGCCACTTTCAAGACAAAAAACAGGAAAATATGAATTTTAATCTTTGGATATATCTTGTTCTTATTATGTTTAAAAGAGTTGGCTTGATTTCATTGTGAGTTGGATGAAACAATTACCTGCTAATTGTGTCAGCTACTCAGTTGGGGCAGATTTCAGCTATAAAGTATCTAGATACGATACGGTCTCACAAAGAACTAAATAAAATTCAAGTAAAATTGAGAGAGCTTGCAAAGGAAATGCTGAGCTGAAAATTCTTATACACTCTAAATTCAAGTACTTACTTCACTACTGCCACGTCGTTTGTTAAGCAGTGTATAAGCAGAATAACTTTTTCATTACATTTCAGTCACCATGTCATTTGAGTTATGTCTCATGAAAAAAGAAAATCTAGTTTCTGTATCATTGCTCATTATATTTTCAGTTTCTTTTCATGTACTCCATCTTTTCTTATTTTCTTTCTCCAGCTTCTTCTTGCTGTCGGCACCAAGCTGCAGCATGTAATCACCCAGTTGGCTCATGAGGTTGCTGAGAAACATATAGCCATAGAAGGGGAACTAATAGTTCAACCATCAGACGAACACTTTTGGTTTGGCAAGCCCAAATTTGTTCTCTTCTTGATCCATTTCATCCTTTTCCAAAATGCTTTCGAGATGGCATTTTTTTTCTGGATATGGGTATGCTGATTCTTTGATCCACTACGTACCGTATGAGTAAAACTCAAATTGGGTATTGAGAGATTGACATAATCTTTAATCTGATTATACAACTTTGCAGGTTCAATACGGTTTTACCTCTTGCATAATGGGAAAAGTGAAGTACATTATCCCCAGGATTGTTATTGGGTAAAAAACCAGAAACCTTTGTTCCTTCATTCTAATGAACTTATGGTTAGAAAGCCCTTCAAACCACATCAGGTTTTTAACTTGTCTTACTGCTGATGCCTCTCTCCTTTTCATGTTCTTTTAGGGTGTTCATTCAGGTGCTCTGTAGTTACAGTACACTTCCACTTTATGCTATTGTGACACAGGTGTGTTGAGTTTAAAACTACATCTTACCTTCTATTTTGGGGAGTGGGGGAGTTGGCAAATTTCGCCACCTTCAAAGAAATGCTTAAATTTGGTCAAAATTTGTAACTGATGGACAAAAACTCCCCTTGCTCGAAGTGCTCGAAGCCCTTTCGAGGAAGACTCAAAGAGGGTTTGAGTTCAACTAAAAGGGGTCTATCGGTTTCAGAAGAAAACCTCTTTGTCTTTGGGGATTGTCATTTAAGTTTCCCATTCTTTGTTCATGTTTTTTTTTGGTTTTTTTTTTGTCTGAGTTCTCCATCATATTCTTCTCTATATGCTAACATAGTTCTGTTTCTGCAATGCAATGAAGATGGGAAGCAATTTCAAGAAAGCGATATTTGACGAAGACATACGCTTGGGACTCGTTGGTTGGGCTAAAAAAGCTAGGAGAAGGAAGGCAAGCATCGATGCCTCCAGCTCTGGCACTGGTTCTGACGTGGGAGTTCAGCTAGGCAAAGTTAACCAAAAGACCACTACAAAGAGCTGAGCAGCTCTTCATGACAAGATATGTGTACTTTTTGTAGAGTCAATGTTAAATATAGCAATAGTTGTCACCACCCTGAAAATTCTGCATAAGGCATGAAGAACTAAAACTCAATCGTATATTACTACGAATTACGATATCTTTTGGGCTCGAGATGTAGGATTATATTCAGGAATTAATCAAATATGCTATGCAGCTTTGCCTATTTCTGCATGCATAAGCATTTTTCCAGCACACCAGTTGAGTTATTGCTGAGTTCTTCTGGAGAGTTCAATGTTTGCAGTGCATGATTGCACCAACAGAAGCTTTGTAACATATGCACAATGCTTATTCAGAAATCACTGGAACAAACGCAATAGTTCTTCATGGAACATGGGCGAGCATGGAACAAGTTGTAAATTTGATACATGTGATTTCCGAGTGAGAAGGAAGGTCCTGAGGTTTTTCATCACCCCGAAAAACATGAAAACTACAATGCTTGTAACTGATTCATGTGCTAAGAAGCAAGTATAATAATACAATTTTTCCTACTAATTACTATCACTTTTTTTGTTTTCATCAACATAAAATTCAATCCAATATGTCTAAATCCACTAATTTGGTCACTTTTGATGATTCTAACAACTTGGCCTGCATCTCCAATTTCATAAACGAACATATTTTGTTCTATTTATGTTATGCTCAATTAATATTCATAATCCCACACTAATTAGTGACTTTAACTATCTTTATTTTCCAATTTTATGGGAAATTCTTGACAAATCATATCCAATCGCCACATAATTACTGCTTAATACTTATTTCATCTATATATATAAAACAAAAGGCAGAGAATGGTGAAACATTCAAAATACCAAAAAATGCACTTGATTAATGCAAACATTAAAAATTGAAATTATTAATTAAATGAGGATAATATGGTAAATTCACAATTTTCATATTAAAAAAATTAAAAATAAAAGAAAAATAAGATAATGGATCCTATTTTTATGGAACACAACTACCCATTATTTTTTTTAATTCTAAAATAAATTTTAAAAAATTTTAAAAAAGTCTCTCGCAAGCGCGGAAGCGCGTGCGGAGAGGCTAGTATACTTTAAAACTATACTTTAAAAATTACAAACAAATGTTTTAAAAAAAATGGTGTTTGGATGGAGAAATAAATTGTAATTTAGACAAAACTCAAGATTTCTATACCTATACATATTCTAATTTCCTTGTTTTGACGTTTATGTATGAAGAAATTTTATATATTCTATGTGGATACAAACTTAGATCGATGGGGTGATAAATCTCAACTGTGAATTTCTCCAAAATATGTGTTAATTCTATAATTCAAAGACAAAAGTAAAAATTATATAATTAAAAAATGTTACAACCATGCCATCACCGTCACTACCACCACACAACCACCACCTTGACCATCACATCGCGAACCCTCTCTTCTCACGTTGCCACTATAACCATTACCATCACCACTCTCATCCCGCCACCACTTGACTCCTACGAACCACCTCTACCATCATCAACCTGCAACTACGATCATCACCAGCTACCCCTCCCCTATCATCACCAACTTCCCCTCCCCTATCAGAACTACCATAATTGCGTATTGAAATCGCTACATTGTGGATTACCCAAATAAGAAATTATAGGGTAGTATGACAAAATAAAAAAAGAAAACAATCATTTTGAAAATTCTAGTGTAATATAAATTAACGGAATGATTGTTTATAGCCATTTTATTAGTTATGGCTAGTAATTAAATTTAAAATTAATAATACTCAAATTTTCCTTTTTTTTGTTATGTTATAGAGGGTCTGCCCTAAGAAAAGGATAAGAATAAAGAATTACGGGGCGTAAAACAAAAAAATATGCTGATTAGGGACGGACATACTATACTTAATTAAGACGCCATTAACGATAAATAAATAAAAAGAAAAAGTAAGGCCATTCCATTTCGACAAAAGACCCACGCCCAAATTCCATAGCTTTGGGTCCGCTATCCCGTATGACATATAACCAAAATATGCTGGATCACGATTAACATCACAAGTTCCAACTAATTCTTTTAATTTCATGGAACTAATGAGAAATTTGACTCCTATCTCAACCAAAAAAAGAAAAGGAAATTGAAATGTTTGACCCACGGCCCATGGATCACGGGCCACCTGACCAACCCGACCCATTTCTCCACCCCCAACCCAATTTTCATTTCACCATTTTCAGTCTGGAAAAACCCAGCTAAACCCTAACAGACGCCATGACCCTCCACTCCATAGTGATACAGAAGCTACTGAGCACCAACGCCCATTTGGGTCGTCGAGTAGCAGCCCACCACTTCAAGCAGTTCACCTATGGAACCCGCAATGGCATGGCCATCATCGACTCTGATAGAACACTCATCTGCCTCCGCACCGCCGCCGAGTTCATCGCCGCCCTCGCCCAGCAGAAGGCCCGCTTCATGTTCGTCAACACCAACTCCCTCTGGGATGAGATCATCGAGCAGATGACGAAGAAGATCGGCTGCTACAGCCCCTCCATGAACTTGCTGTGGCGCACTGGTGGGTTCCTCACCAACAGCCACAGCCCCAAGAAGTTCAGGTCCCGCCGTAAGAAGATTTGCTTCGGGCCCACCCAACCTCCTGATTGCCTGGTTGTTTTCGATACTGATCGGAAATCTTCGGTGATTCTCGAGGCGGATCGGTTGCAGATTCCCATTGTTTCGCTTGTTGATTCGGCCATGCCGTTGGAATACTATAAGAAGATTACGTATCCGATTCCGGCCAACGACTCGGTTCAGTTCGTGTACTTGGTCTGCAATTTGATCACCAAGACTTTCCTTCTTCACCAGAAGAGCAGTGCTTCTTCTGTTGCACAACTGGAGGATACGAGGTGGGTTTTGGTTGTTTGTGTTTCTTAAGTTGAGCTCTAGGAGTTTGATATTTTGTTTCAGTGAGTGTTGAATTCGATGTGCCCTGCGTGTGTTTTGTTGAAGGGAGCAAGTGGAGCGTATAGAGGAGGGTAAGAGCGTCAACAAGGATGAGTTGCTTGTGCTTCCTTACAGCTTGTTACCCATTTCTCCTGGTAATATTGGATAAATTGTTTTTCTTTTTTAATCAATCTCAACAAAAGTGATAAAATTTAAATGTACTTATTTTGGTGCATGCATGAGAGTGTAGGTGTAGATAGAACTGAGGAGCTCCTGGACAAGCTTGTTGTGCTCAAGTTCAATGGAGCTTTGGGTACAAACATGGGATTCCATGGCCCCAAGTATGCACTCATACTCAATGACCAGAATTCTTTTGTGTTCTCACTTTTTGCATCTGTAGGCTAAATTCTTGTACTTGTTTTGTGCAAGTATTTTGTTGCGTATTGATTTCTTGGTTTTGTTTTGTAGCTATATTACTCTAATTCTTTATAACTTTGATGCAGGTCCACTATTCAAATCTGTGATGGGTTGACATCTCTAGACTTAATTGTTAATCAAATTGAGGTCAAATTTTACCTCTCTCTCTCTCTCAGTTGTTTTTTAAAAATTGCAGGTATTCTATAATCACCCTTCACATATCTTAATATTACTATTGCAGGCTCTCCATTCTAAGTACAGATGCAGTGTTCCTTTGCTCCTTATGAACACAACAACGACACACGAAGATACAGTCAAGGTGAATTGCTTTTGCCATTTCCCCATGAAGTTCTTACTTTTAGATCCTATGTTTTTCTACTCATATTAGCTTGTGTAATGTAGGTCTTGGAGAAATACACCAAGTCAAATGTTGATATTCATTCTCTTAAACAGGTTTGCGATTCTAAGGCGTATTTTTTTATTAGCTTATGTTTTCTTTTTCTTGTTTTGGTTATTGGAAGCTTGGATTAGGACTTACTTGTGAATGTATGTTCTCATTCATGTGGTCCCAACAGCCACAGCACAAGTCATCTGGAGGACAGAGCGGTGAGGACGAACTGTATGTCATCTTTCCTATCTGAATTCTTCATATTGTTTATTTTTTTAACTAATACGTGCATAATCTGTATGATGTTGAAAGCAGACGTGACTTATTTTGAGAATCTATTAAGTGCTGATAGAAATTTTTTTGTTTTTTTTCTTCTATTTTTCTTTCTAGGGATGTATCCATATTTAATAACTAACAGATTAATCGCAACTTTTAGAATACCTAGCTAACCCTAATTTCAAATTAAGTCAAACTCCTTCAGATTCTGGGCCTCCATTAAGAGGGTTTAGCTTCACACATGTTCAAACCAAAAAACTCAGTCCTCCACTATGTTTGAAAAGGATGAAATCTAAAAGCATAAAGTTGGATGGTTACAGGTAAATAATGCTTGTTCCTTCGGTTGTAATATAGAAAACAATGGATAACAAAAGGTGTATTGGACAGTTTTTGCCCAGGCCCACCAAATTCTTTGACCAAAGTGTTTAAATAAAAATTTTACCCTTTTACTCCATGAATGGTTAAGTTCCCTGTATCATGAGAACAGGTAAATAATCTGAGTTGAATGCATGGTTTGATTTATAATTCCTAGTACCCATTGGAGATTGTAATTCACTTCAATATGTGGTGTCATGTAGTTATTTCTTGAAATTGTCTTCGTTTGGCAGAAAATCTAACAGCATGGTTATGTGCTTTTTACTGTATGATTATGACGGGTCTTTTTTAATTAAGGAATTAATTTTTTGAGGATGTGATTGTCTTAAGATTTGAGAGCGTCATGACTCATGTGAGGGTACTGTAATTGCTTTATGATTTGACTGCAGTGTTGTAGTCCTGTTTCCTCAAGTTAATTATTTTCAGTTTCTTATATTTCTGATCTATTTGAGTTGTCTGTTGAAGGTGGGAGTTTGTGAAGCATTTTGTAACAACCATGCTGTCATTTGCAAAAAAATTGTTGGTGAAAACTTTAGAGCAGGCTCATAAGAACTAACTATACCATCCAATAATTCTCATCCAATAATTCTCATATGTTGGTTCTGCACAATCACAAATTGATTTCCTTTGACAGTGAACATAACTTTGCTGATCAATTACCCTACTTTTGTGCTTATGTGAAGGTATCCTGGCCACGGTGCAGTGTTCCTTTCCATTATGAAAAGTGGAACTCTTGATGTCCTATTATCACAGGTTTGTATCTTAATGCACTTCTGAAGGTGTCCTTATGGTTTTGTTTCTTTTTCATTTAAATTACCGAGAAACATGAATTTGAACGAAACAAAAGAAAAGAGTACCTGTTGAGAGGAGGTATTTAAAGGTAAACTTGGCTAAACTTCTTCAGCTTTCCTTTTCAGGGTAAGGAGTATATCCTTGTGGTTGACTCAGATAACGTGGCTGCTACAATTGACCCAAGTATCCTTGTCATATATTTTTATTTTTATTATTGTAGTTCTCTGCGATACTTCCATTTATTATTGCTTTTTTTGTCCTTTGTTGGGGATCAATCCTTAGATCATTGTGTCCCTTAAGTCAATGTGTAGAAATTTTGGATCATTTGATTGAAAACAAGATTGAATACTGTATAGAGGTAAACAAAATGAGAGCTTAGGATGTTCTCCTCTTTCTCTGTGTGTGTGTTTGTGTGTGTCTGTACATATACATATTAGAAAAACTTCAGGAAGCGGGGTCCTGCAAAACTGGATTCCACTCCTGAAGCTGTCTGTGTGTGTGTGTGTGTGTGACCCTCTTCCTTTTATTTTCTTCAGATTTCTCCATCTTGTGTGGTAGATTTTGTAAGTCTGACTTTTCTCTCCCACCAGGTTGTGCCTACCGCATATGATGCAGATTTTAGTAACATTGGTTCACGCCTACAGAAGTTTGAGGTAGGTAGTATTGATATATATATATGGTACTGTACAACTATAACGCCCTCCCTTATCTCCAATCCTTTAAAATTGTGGTTGGGATGCCCTGTGTTAGTATCTTCAAAGGTGGCTATAATTTCTATATTTTTATATAAATTCAGTTTAGGAATACAGTTTATAAATGTTTTGAACTTTTGAATGGGAGGTTAAACTCGAGATTCTTCAATAAATCCACGTCTTGTATGTGTCCTATTTCTCCTTATTCGAATTGGTTAGTAACCTTCAAGTTTTGGGTCTTCCTTGAAATGAATCAACTGCTTAGATAATGTGGAAATCTGTTCGTGAAATTGGAAGTCTTGCCAAAAATTAATCATAATCTTGGGTTCTAGATTAAACAATTGAAAAGCTATTTTCATAACTACAATTGATTGAGCATGTGATGAAAGCCTTAGGCTGATTGATGAGATTGCAGCAACCTTTTGGGGTATTTGAATTAAAAATAACAGTTGGAAACCTTCCAAGGCTTCCATTAGTGCTACTGCTATGATTATCATCCTTCAAGTGGGTGGGGAGATAGATTTGAGGATATAATTTTTTCCTTTTGTACAAGACAAAGTAATTTAGCTATATAATTTTTTTTACCAAAAGACCCTAGCTATGCATTTGGATATGAGTTATGTTGTAGATTGGCATAAAATTGACAGCTTATAGTTGGTTGTAACAACTATATATTGATGATGAACTTAATCATCTAGCCCAATCTAATTTTGGAAAATGCGAGCTGTCAATAATCCAAAGGGAAATTCTAGAAATGTCACCTAACATTATAAAATATTTTCGATTTGTCACGGTGAAGAAAACTTTAAGAGAACCCCACCTTGATTTGACGAAATCCCTCATATGTCACCTGACTAATGCTGTTCAATTTTCCATCTGAAATATGGCACGTGCATCACACGTGACCCCTTTTCAGGGGCAGTTAACTATCAATTTAACATTAACATTATCTACAATAAGAAATAATAAAGTGCTTGTCAGTGGGGTTTGGGGTGGGTTGTGGTTGGAATGAGTGGTCGGTGGGTTGTTTTTATATAGCGATTTTGACAAATCAAGGTGGCATCTTTGTTAAATTTGTCTAACAAATTGGAACTGGTGTATAAGTTCATGTGACATTTTTATTAATTTCCCTAATCCAAATAGCATATTGACCAAAAAAAAATGCTTTTAAGTGAACTTGTTTTTGCAAATATGTTAATCTAAAATGCTCTGTGATTTCTAGACGTGAACTTGTTTTTGTTAATCTGGCTTGGTCTAAAACTTGAGGTGTAGTTAATTTAATATGATACTAAGCATTGATGAATAGATTTTCCTATATTCTTTATATGTTAATCCATCGGTGATTAACGTTTTGTGCCATAATATGATGCAGCTTGCGGAAATAGCCCAGAGTTCTGTCAAACATGTAAGTTTCGGTTTGGGATTTTTTTTCTTTCCTTTGTTTTCTCCTGTATTGGCTATTTTGCATTTATATATGTATGTTTAGGTTTGAAATTCTATATCATGCTGCGTGTACTTGGTAGATTTTGATCATTTACTTGATTTATTATCTTTTTATTACATGGTTACTCACTTTCCTTGGTGTTATGTGCTCGTTACATTGAAGTCAATGGAAAATTTCAAACTTGTTGATACTGGCAGCTTGTAAGTTGATTGCTTCTCAAACTCAATAATATGCTTAACTTTCAGTCTTGTTTCCTATAAAATAACTGCTTATCTTCACTTTGTGCTACATTGTACAGGTGGGTGAATTTGAGAGCCATTAAAAGGCTTTTGGATACAGATACACTAAAGATTGAAGATATCTCAGTTTCTAAGGTACCATACCTTATCATCTGTTGAGAAACTTCTGTATATTGACTAGTAATTAACAAAAATACTGTTTATTATTATTACTTTATAACGTAGAATAGAAAGTGATCAAGTTCTTTTGCAGGAAACGGCGGCTGGTTCAGCAATACGGGTATTTTTCATATTATATAAAATTCTTTTAATATTTATTTTTACAGTTATTGTTGCTAGGTTTTTTGGTTATTTCACTTTTTATGGCTTGTACCAGTTCTTTGATCGTGCCATTGGTGTCAATGTTCCCCATTCTCGATCTCTTTCACTGAATAAAACATCAGACATACTTCTTCTAAAGGTGATGTTGACACTTTTCTTTCCCATAACTTTTATTTTGACAATTGAGAAGAAATGATGCTCTTTAGAACCTTGAATTTATTGTTTTTGTTATATCTCATTTATGTGCTTCTACAGTCAGATCTCTATACCTGTGATGAAGGGGTTCTAGTTCGGAATATTGCTAGAACTAATCCCGAAAATCCTGTAATTGAATTAGGACCTGAATTTGAAAAGGTAAAGATTTGTTTGGTCGCAATTGCCTTGCCTTTATCTATTTGCATTTGTCTTCTTTAACGTTTTTATCTCCTTTCAGGTTAGTGACCTCCTAAGCCGCTTTAAGTCCATGCCTGACATTATTGGCCTCGATAGCTTGAAGGTCACAGGTGATGTGTGGTTTGGAGCTGGTATAACTCTCAAGGTATTGCTATTGTTCTCCTGGAATCTGTTTCAAATTTGTTAACTTGTAACTGTTGCTTCTTTCATCCCTTTTTAATTTGTTTGCAATTTGCACCCAATCATATTCTGCGTTATAGTTCGTGAGCTTTAGGGAGGTTTGTTATCTTTTCATATCAGCAGTAAAAAAACTCAGTAAAATACTGGAAACAAATTTCTTGCGCTGGCAGTATCTAAGAATGTCCACATCACATATTGATATTAGTGCAGAATGCTTTGTAATATGGATCGGACTGGGGTATTCGTTTGCTCGTACATATAAAATGATTTGCTGGAGCAACGTATTGCCATCAATCTTTCAAAATGATCTCTCAGTTATTTGTTGATTCAACAGTATTTCATTTTTCTTATGGTTGATTTACTTCTCCAGGGGAGAGTAACTATCGCTGCAAAACCCGGGATGAAATTGGAAATTCCTGATGGAGTGGTAATGGAGAATAAGGTAGGTCACTTTAATTTATGTAGACTTTTCGCATCGGTGATTTCACATATCTTCTAAAATGTTCTATGTTCTGCTACTTTTCCCAGGACATCAATGGCCCTTCTGACATTTGATAATGAGATGAGTTGCTTGGAGAATGTTGACGAAAATGAGAGTTAACCTGCCTAACAACTTCCTCAGGAGTTGTCGTTGTAATTGTACCTAGGTGGCCTTGATAATGATATCTTTCCATACTTTCTATCATTTTTTCCTGATCCTCCTCCATTGGAATAAAGGTTCCTATACATTTATTGCAGGCTAGGCTAGAGAAAGAGAGATATTCAGCTTCCATTAATATTTGCTGAGAGAGAGAGAGAGAGAGAGAGAGAGAGAGGAGCTGTTCGCAGGCGCAGTATTTTTTTATTTTGGCAGAGGATTAGAGGTCTGCATGACCAAATAAGTTTCTTGTTAAATTGTTTATTAGAAGAGCATCACAGTAAATGTTATAGAATAGTTCCTTTGGGTTTACCATTTGATTTATGGTTGTAAATTGGAATAGAAATTCGTACACTTTCCAAGTTTTCTTCTATGTTCATGCTCTATAGGCTTAAAGGCTTTGGCTGCCAAACCAATGCCTTACCACTTGCAAGGAGAAAAGAAAAGTAGCAATTTTTATTTTTGATTGTTGAATATAAAACAAGAAGGAAAGAAGTCACTTTTGGTTCTAGTAGTTTGCCGGTTTTACTAATTTGGTATTTGTAGTTTTAATTTTTGTCAATTGTATCCTTGTAGTTTTCAATTCGCTAGCAATTCCGTTACATTTTAGCCATGTGTCTTTTATATGGAGGGGTATTGTTGTCCACTTGAGCCAATTCTTTTGAAATTCCTCCCAATTCACTCAAATTTTAACCTAGAGATGCAAATATTTTTTAAAGGAATTTTTGTAGAAATGTCACTGGAACTTATACCTCAATTTTAATTTGTCACCTTAAAGAATAATTTAAGGGAATTGTCACCTTAATTTTTCAAAATTCATTATTTGTCATCTAACTTTAATAACATCCAATTTTCTATCCATTTTAAGGGTATTTTAGTCTTTCCATTTTCAAGGAAAAAAAAATAGAGAAAAAAGAGACTCATCTCTCTCTTTCTCCCCAACCCCACTCGCCCCCAAAACACATTGAAGGGGGAATGGATTTCAAGGTGGGTGGTGTTGGTTAGAGCCATCGGTGGTGCACATGTGATGAGGGAAGGTGACAAATTGTGGATTTTGAAAAATTAAGATGACATTTCTCTTAAATTTTTCTTTAATGTGATAAATTGAAACTGAGGTAAAAGTTCATGTGACATTTCTATAAAAATCCCTTCTTGAAACCCTAAGTACTAAAATTGCACCCAAAGTGAATGGGAAGAGCTCTAGCTTGTGTTTTACAATTAAATATGGCTCTAGTAGATTGGAATACCCTTTTCACATGAGGGGCATGTGGTCAAAACTTAACGAAGTTGGGAGGGATTTGACAAAAACTAAGTATCCTTGAATTGCTCAAAATTGAAAAATACAAGGACAATTGACAAAATTCTAACTACGATGACCAAAATGGTAAAACCAAAAGCCTACAGAGACCAAAAATAATTATTTGCCAGACAAAGAATGGGCTTTGAGAAATGGCCTTGCATGATTTCTTTTTCTGTTAGAGAAATTCGTCCTAGATAAAACACACTCGTTTCTAGTGTGAGGATTGAGTAACGAAATTGGGAGAAATTTGACAAAAACTGAAACGTGCCCTTGAAATGCTCTGAATTGAAAAGTACAAGGACAAAATTCAAATTACAATGATCAAAGTGGTAAAACCAAAAGCCTACCGGGACCAAAAATACCTATTTGCCAAATAGAAATGGCCTTGCATGGTTCTATTCTTTTTCTTTTAGAGAAATTTGTCCTAGGTAAAACACATTCGTTTCCAATGTGAGGATTGAGTAACATTTGATTCAAACGTTTTAATTCTTTTTTTATTCAAACTCGTTTCCAGATCTAAAACCATACATTTCAAACATAATTTTATAATACACATGAAATGAAAAAATTTCAAACCAAATACAAGGTTGTTGAAAATTGATGTCCTAATGTAGCAAGGCCATCCGCAACCAGTTTGTCTTTTTGATAAATATGACAAAGGGATACTTGAGACAATTTCTGCAGTAAGGGCCAAATATTAGTAAGACCACTTCCACCGCAGAGCTCAATCTGGGCAAAAGATCCCCTTAGGTTGAAGAAATCCACTCCACCGCACAAATCTAGTCGGGGCATATGGTGGGCTCCACAAAGATTGGGTAGGTTCGAAGGCAAGAGCAACCCGAGCTGTTACTTGAGGGCGCTAACCTCAGTGAAGAAAAAAAAAATTAAAAATTCTGAAAAAATACATACAAAAAAAATCAGAATCTTTTTTAATACACACATAGCAATTTTTTAATCATTAATCTCGTACATAAAAATAATGATTTCCCCACTCCAATTTTATCCACTTACACTCCTTTTTTAGTTATAAAATGGAGTGTAAGTGGATAAAATTGGAGTGGAGAAATCACCACTCAAATAAAATTAATCTCATGTGAATAGTAATTGATCCTTTTGAAGATGCGGTGGAAGGGATAATTTGAAAAGGAAAAAAAAAAAAAAAGACATCATAAAATTTTCTTTGGGGTCTTGTTGTGAGGTGTAAATAGAAATAAGAATTGCCAAGGAAAAATTTACACAAAAAGTCACTCCTTCTAAAGCCCAAGTTAGTTTGGGTGGTTTGGGGGTTATCACGCATGCATGTTCCCCTAGTGCTTCAACTAAAGGACGAGTAGAGGAAGCTCTAGGCGTGCCAACTGAAACTAATACTGAGACCCTAAATGTTAATTTTTTATTGGGCCCTGCACTTTCCTTGGCTAGTGTCAGTAAAGACCCCACCCTTATTGGTGAGTCTGAGATTATTCATGCGGTTGTGGAAGATGTCGCACTCCACAAGACGACATCCTTGATTACTGAATCTGACCCCACAAAAGAGACGGAGCAGCCTACACAACAGAAACGTAGTAAGAAGAAATTTATCCTTGAAGGTGGCAACCCCCCGTCAAAAAGGAAAAAATTTCTTCCGTCGCTCAACCCAGGCTGCTCTCTAAAACTCACTAGAGGAACTGTGGGGGTTAGAGCTGGTGCTAAAGGGGGGCGCAAACGGGCACACGGCTCCACTGGTGTGGCTAAGTCTGCAATCAATGACTCATCGCTGTGTGAGGTAGTGGTGAGTCCATCCAAAGAGTTGGAAATCCTTGAACTGAGGGTTAAGAATGGTCTTATTGACGGCGGTGGTGGCTGGCCTTTGACAGCCACAAGAGGTCCATGAATCTACAATTTTGGAATTGTCATGGTTGGGGCATTTTCCTGACAATTCCTCACAGAAAGATGCTTTTATGCTCTATCAGCCCCTCTACTCTATGCCTCTGTCTTCTTTTTGGAGGTGTCGGCAGCTATGCTTTTGTGCGTTTGTCTTTGTTTCCTACTGTGAATGTTCTCCTCCGATCCCTTGCGGCTTTGTCTCGTTGTTGGATCTTCTCCACCGTGTTACGTTCTAGTGCGTCTCTCCTCAGTAATACTATTGCTGTTGAGGATGCTTTTAAAGTGCTTTTGACACTTACCTCTCGGATTATGGTAGCGCTCTCTGTAGCTGTGATGGCGTATCCATCACCATCTTCCTCTCGGTTCTTTGGTTTCTGTGACTTCTCTGGTGGTTTTGGTCTTGCGTTGGGTGCCTTGCCAATTGGTTATTGGGGGTGCGGCTTTTCTCAGCTTCCTGTTTTACGGCTTTTCTTTTTGTTTCTTAGCGTTTGTTGTTCGTTTTAATTTGACTGGGTAAGAAGCTTGGTTCTAGCCTTGTACTGAGGTCTAGCTGCTTCTACCTGGTTCGTGTATTTCCGGCTCAGTTTGCATTCTATCCCGTTTTGGTTTCTTTGAAACCAAACATTGACCAAAAAAAAAAAAAAAGTTAGTTTGGGTGGTCCCAAATACCAGTATCCTCTCCCAAAACCCAATTCCAAAAGGATAAGAAAACCCTCTCTCACTCTTCTTCCTCTACTCTCTCTGAGTCTGAAGTGTGCAATTGAGCAACTCATGCTATGCGTTTGAGTGCATAGCCAGAAGCAAAGAAAGATGTCAATCCTTTCAATTTCAGCTTCATCTTCTTCCTCCCTTCTTCCCAATGTCTCATTCTCCTCCTCAAAATGCTGCTCTTCATTTCTCACCCCACAAACCCACACCAACAGCAACCCATTTCTGCCCATTGTGAAATCCAAGAAGAAGAAACCAGTGGGCGTGACCATGAGCATTGAGGCAGGCATAGGAGTTATGGCCACGAAGCTCGGCATGATGAGCTTCTTCGAACCCAACGGCAAAGTTGTCCCAGTCACAGTGGTGGGTTTCAAAGAAGGCAACATAGTGACCCAGGTCAAAACCGAGGCCACCGACGGATACGATGCCGTTCAGGTGGGCTATCGCCGAGTCAGGGACCGAAAACTGACGAAACCCGAAATGGGTCATATCCAGAAGGCCGGTTCAATCCCCCTGCGCCATCTCCAGGAGTTTCGGCTCCAGAGCGTTGATGGGTTCGAGCCAAATCAGAAGCTTTCGTTTGACGAGCTCTTCAACGAAGGAGACATTGTTGATGTCTCTGGAACCACAATCGGTAAAGGGTTTCAGGGTGGGATTAAGAGGCACAATTTCAAGAGAGGGCAAATGACTCATGGGTCCAAGAGTCACAGAGCTCTTGGGTCAATTGGGGCCGGAACGACGCCGGGGCGGGTTTACAAGGGGAAGAAGATGCCTGGAAGAATGGGAGGGACCAAGACCAAGATCAGGAAGCTCAAGATTGTGAAGATTGATAAGGACCTCAATGTTGTTATGATCAAAGGTGCTCTTCCTGGTAAGCCTGGCAATCTTCTTCGCATAGCTCCAGCTAAGATTGTGGGCAAGAACATTCCTAAGAGTTAGTTCTTTTTTGATTGTGAATTTTGTATTGTCATTGACTCTCTCATATGAATGTCTTGCTTCTCCTTTAATTAGTGCTTTGTGAATGTTTGCTTGGTATGATATTTGGAAGCACTTCACTTGATTGAGGGAGCAAGAATCACTTTTTATGTCATCTTAAATTCAATTAGTTTGTTGTGAAAATGCTAATCTTTTGTGAAATTATGTTTGATTTAAGTGGCAATATGAGGGCAATGTGTGATAGAAAGCAACAATTTTGGCCCAAGGATGAATTGACTCGTCTCCTCAAAACTAGGACATCAATTGAGTAGAAGCATGATCTGTATTGTGTCTGCCTGATTTTTCTGTATCATCACTCCATGATCTAGTTTCATACAATGAGATCTTACGGTCACGTTTAGTGCTTAAAATTATATTGGGTTTGGTAACTCATAAGACTAGATGAAAGTAGGGTTGAAGAATTTTTCATTTTGTGGGGATTAGACGGAATAAGTCATAAGGTGTCGATACCAACCATTTGGTGGGGCTGTGGTTTCTACAGAGTTTAGTGAGTTATCCTGCTTTGTGATATATATGCAGATTAGATAATGTGGCAGAGCTGTTTATTATTGTATTGCAATTTCTGTGCTCTGCTGGGTAGCTGTTAGGCTGGGTTCACCTTGTCCTTTGTCACTTTTTGTAAATTATGTTTGCACTCGTTTAGCGTTCATAAGTTGGGTCAAGATAAATTATGAAGTTGGGGATGAGAGAGACATTAATCAAAACCCAAGTACAAAATATGGTAATAGTACAAAAGATGAAAGTTGTGCGTGGAAGATGGGTTTTAGTCATAATTAGGTCACCCATGGGCATGAACATCAGAACATGGACATGTGAAGCCACTACACTACACCATTTCATTCATCAACGTAACTTAATTTCCTAACAGCTATCTGTTATCTGATTCTGAGGCCATTGACAGGCAGGCAGATGTCCATATTTGATATAATTTCCATTTCTTGCACCGTTGAACGTACTCACCTCACCTCACACAGTATAAGTATACCGCGACTAATGTGTGATTTCTTCAAGTGACAAATTGGAGGTTAGTTGAGGTTTTTGGATATACGACTAGAGTTGCTTGCTTGCATGATCAACCCTAGACATTACCATAGACGACTAATAGCTACCCAGCGCCGGCCACCAATTCCCAATTTTAACATCAAAATGAAACTGACCCTTGTTAGCTACCTACTATTGTACTAGTGTGTTACGTGTAGGAGGGTTAATTACTTTGTAAGAAAACATCGGAGCTTGCTTGCATTTCAAGTTTCAACACTCAACATAAACGTCTCTAGATTACTTTTTTTTGCTTAATTAGTCACAACTTATATTATACATTTTCTCAAGAAAGAGTTACGGTGCGGGGGGAGATGGGAAATTTGACAGCTCTAGATTAGAATTCACAAGAAAAGAAAAGAAAAGGATTGATGTAGAATTCAGAAATCATGAGGCCATCTCTCAATCTCAAGCTACATGCATCTTTTGTACTATTACCATCTTCTAACCTACCAGCACTTGGGGTCAAGATAAAACTGCAATCATCCCTGAGATGAAAGCTTTCTGGGTTACAGCTGCATTTTTTGGGTGCATTGGGATCGGATTGAACTTGTGACGTATTCTAACCCTAACCCCTTTCCTTACTCCCTCCCACCTGAATGAGTCCTAGGGGCTTTTGCAGGTAGAGATTGGAAGAGCTGAAAGGTTTTCTTTGTAATATACAAAGCTTATCTCATCATACAAAGGAAAAAGGACTAATCTTCCATCATACAAAGCTCATCTCATCAAGTGAGGAGATTATGTTTACTAATACATGGTCAACCACATTATTTGAAGACAAATGTTAACCATTTTACAGAGAACTTCAACAGAGTACACTGAAATAGTTTTTCTTCCTAATAGAGGCGCCTGCAGAGGGTGAGGCCATCGCCGATGGAAACGTGAGCCAATTCGATACGGGAATCTGCGGCTAGAAAGCTGTTCAATTCCCTCGTATGTTTTCTGTATGGCCTTAAACGTTCCTCTACCATTTCCTCGGGCTCTGCCACTGAGCCAGACGACAATGTGTTATCGAATGCTATTATCCCACCAACCTTAACAAGCTTTATCAGCAGCTCGTAATATTCAATGTAGGTGTCCTTGTTAGCATCCACAAATGCAAAATCAAAGCTCCCTTCTTCGTTCCCCTGCTTGCTTGTTTGAAACTCCAAATCAAAATACAATTCTATCTATTTGAACCAATGATAAAACTAAAACTATTTCAGCTAATGTTTTCTCGTAGGTTTATGTTGCTAGATTGTGAATCCGGACTACACCTTCAAGTATAGTGTCAACTTAATCAATAACATAGATTGATGGTCTGGCAACATACGACGATGAATGCTTTTTCAGAAATCCTTCTTTTAAAAAAATGGGTACATGTGTAAGGTACAAACTTACATTGATAATGAGATCATTTAGGACGGAGATGGCATCCAATTGAAAGAAGTTAATCTTATGCTCCACCCCAGCCTTCCGAATGAACGGCAATCCGAACTCATAGGCTTCTTTATTCAGATCGATTGCTGTAATCTGAAAAAGTTCATGTTGAAACTCCAGAACTAATTACTAATGTAAGTCAAGATGAAAAGTTTTATTTATTTATTATTTAATGAAAATTAAAAATTAAAATAAAAAAGAACGAAAAAGGAAGAATACTTTTCCATCAGAAGGCAGTGCAAGAGCTGTAGTAAGAAGTGAATAGCCAGTAAATACTCCGAGCTCCAGTGTCTTCTTTGCATTCATGAGCTTCATAAGCATGGAGAGCAACAGCCCTTCATCAACAGGCACATTCATAATGCTCCTGCAATTAATTAGATCAAACTGTAATTATTGAGGTTAAAGTTGGTATTTTCTGAAAAGTTATATTAGTTTCTTTGATCAAGAAATTTATTAGTTCTGGAAAAAAAAGATCAAGGAATTTATTAGTTGATAAAAAAAAAAATCAAAATAACTTACCAATATTACTAAAAAAAATTCTCTTTATGATAAGACCTTGTATTAATTAATTTATTAGAAGCAATAGTCTTAAATTAAATGAAATATATGTATTAGACGACATTCACTCATGAAACTATAATCAAATAAACTGATGAACACAATACTTTCTGTAAACAATGAAAATATTAACGATTATTCAAATGGTATAAATTTGGCTAATTTTTTGCAAGGGCGATATATTGGAATGATGACCTAGAAAATAAACAGTTTGGATCATGAGATGACACTGTGGAGTTGGCCCAAATGAATTGCTAGCGTTGTATTAACTTACTAACCAGCTAGCGCTTAAATGCTCTTGTATATACATATATGTAAATGCAAATATTCAATATACCTGAACTGGTATTTCTCGACAGTGGCTTCCCTTAGTTGCTTCAACTGCTCATGTTCTCTTGGATAGCAGCTTGTTTCAAGGATGTACTATCACAAGAAAGGCCAATGGTTATCTTGTGAGGGAAAGTAAATCTAAAAGTTTAAGGCTAGTAATTTAATTTCACTTGTCACACTGCACCTATGTCTTTGGTTACTGTTGTAGTTTGAACTCTAAAGAAAAAAAAATATAAAATCATGAACCAGCTGAAACAAGTTTATGAAGAAACACTATAGCTCTTCACACCCACAGTTAATAAATAATAAAACAAATAAAAATTGCAAGGAAAACAAGAAATAATTTCAGTCCTAGCAAAACTGCTTCTTTAATAAAAATTGAAAAAAAAAAATATCAATCAATCGTCTATGGCCTTGTTAACAGCATTTGAAATTGAGGAAAAGAAAATGAACCTTTAGAAGAGCTGGGGTTTTGAGGATGATCTTCTCTTGTTTTCCTGCTTCCATCCTCTTCTCAACAAAAACTAAACTAAACTATTCTTAATAACTCTCCATCTTACCACCTTTTATTGCGAATCTCAGCATAAAGCGTAATAACCCAAACCTTAAATAATATTTAATTATAAATTATTAGAGAGAAAATACAAAAATGCCCTTGAGATATTTTAGTTGTGAAAAAGTTGACTTTTTGACCGGGGAAGAATTTGGTAAACCATGTTACACTTTTTTCCAATTTATTTCTCTGTTTGTGGTTTATTACACCTGTTGCAACCCATTTAATGTGAAATAATGGGTTAGACTGAGATATTTTAGAAGTTAACTTGTGATCGGTAAAATGTTGTAACAAATAGGTTAACAATCTTTTGTACTATTCTGAGTTGGCCAATATTTTCATGGACCAAGGAAAGAAGAAACCTAGAACACCTCAAGAGTAATTACCAAAGGGTTAAATTTGCATTATTTAGTTTCTTCTCTGTCTAGTGTAAATATTTATGTCGGCATGTCTATATTCTACTTTCTATTTTAAGTTGCCTAGTGAAACTATTTTTGTTTTTCAGACAAGAAGGTGCTCAAGAGTTCCTTAGCTTCATTATAGATCAATGCCTAGTGAAACTATTTTTGTTTTTCAGACAAGAAGATGCTCAGGAGTTCCTTAGCTTCATTATGGATCAGATGCATGATGAATTACTTAAGCTTGAAGGACAGCCCTCGAGTATTAATGGGCTCAAATCATCTCTAGTATCTTCTGCAGAAGAAGATGAATGGGAGATGGTTGGCCCTAAGAATACATCTGCAGTAACCAGGACACAGTTTTGTTCCTTCAGAATTAACAGCAGGCATTTTAGTCATGAGCTATGTCAGGCAATGGCACTTTTTCAAGCCATTTCCGATCCCTTGCGGCTTTGTCTCGTTGTTGGATCTTCTCCACCGTGTTACGTTCTAGTGCGTCTCTCCTCAGTAATACTATTGCTGTTGAGGATGCTTTTAAAGTGCTTTTGACACTTACCTCTCGGATTATGGTAGCGCTCTCTGTAGCTGTGATGGCGTATCCATCACCATCTTCCTCTCGGTTCTTTGGTTTCTGTGACTTCTCTGGTGGTTTTGGTCTTGCGTTGGGTGCCTTGCCAATTGGTTATTGGGGGTGCGGCTTTTCTCAGCTTCCTGTTTTACGGCTTTTCTTTTTGTTTCTTAGCGTTTGTTGTTCGTTTTAATTTGACTGGGTAAGAAGCTTGGTTCTAGCCTTGTACTGAGGTCTAGCTGCTTCTACCTGGTTCGTGTATTTCCGGCTCAGTTTGCATTCTATCCCGTTTTGGTTTCTTTGAAACCAAACATTGACCAAAAAAAAAAAAAAAGTTAGTTTGGGTGGTCCCAAATACCAGTATCCTCTCCCAAAACCCAATTCCAAAAGGATAAGAAAACCCTCTCTCACTCTTCTTCCTCTACTCTCTCTGAGTCTGAAGTGTGCAATTGAGCAACTCATGCTATGCGTTTGAGTGCATAGCCAGAAGCAAAGAAAGATGTCAATCCTTTCAATTTCAGCTTCATCTTCTTCCTCCCTTCTTCCCAATGTCTCATTCTCCTCCTCAAAATGCTGCTCTTCATTTCTCACCCCACCAACCCACACCAACAGCAACCCATTTCTGCCCATTGTGAAATCCAAGAAGAAGAAGCCAGTGGGCGTGACCATGAGCATTGAGGCAGGTATAGGAGTTATGGCCACGAAGCTCGGCATGATGAGCTTCTTCGAACCCAACGGCAAAGTTGTCCCAGTCACAGTGGTGGGTTTCAAAGAAGGCAACATAGTGACCCAGGTCAAAACCGAGGCCACCGACGGATACGATGCCGTTCAGGTGGGCTATCGCCGAGTCAGGGACCGAAAACTGACGAAACCCGAAATGGGTCATATCCAGAAGGCCGGTTCAATCCCCCTGCGCCATCTCCAGGAGTTTCGGCTCCAGAGCGTTGATGGGTTCGAGCCAAACCAGAAGCTTTCGTTCGACGAGCTCTTCAACGAAGGAGACATTGTTGATGTCTCTGGAACCACAATCGGGAAAGGGTTTCAGGGTGGGATTAAGAGGCACAATTTCAAGAGAGGGCAAATGACTCATGGGTCCAAAAGTCACAGAGCTCTTGGGTCAATTGGGGCCGGAACGACGCCAGGGCGGGTTTACAAGGGGAAGAAGATGCCTGGAAGAATGGGAGGGACCAAGACCAAGATCAGGAAGCTCAAGATTGTGAAGATTGATAAGGACCTCAATGTTGTTATGATCAAAGGTGCTCTTCCTGGTAAGCCTGGCAATCTTCTTCGCATAGCTCCAGCTAAGATTGTGGGCAAGAACATTCCTAAGAGTTAGTTCTTTTTTGATTGTGAATTTTGTATTGTCATTGACTCTCTCATATGAATGTCTTGCTTCTCCTTTAATTAGTGCTTTGTGAATGTTTGCTTGGTATGATATTTGGAAGCACTTCACTTGATTGAGGGAGCAAGAATCACTTTTTATGTCATCTTAAATTCAATTAGTTTGTTGTGAAAATGCTAATCTTTTGTGAAATTATGTTTGATTTAAGCGGCAAATATGAGGGCAATGTGTGATAGAAAGCAACAATTTTGGCCCAAGGATGAATTGACTCGTCTCCTCAAAACTAGGACATCAATTGAGTAGAAGCATGATCTGTATTGTGTCTGCCTGATTTTTCTGTATCATCACTCCATGATCTAGTTTCATACAATGAGATCTTACGGTCACGTTTAGTGCTTAAAATTATATTGGGTTTGGTAACTCATAAGACTAGATGAAAGTAGGGTTGAAGAATTTTTCATTTTGTGGGGATTAGACGGAATAAGTCATAAGGTGTCGATACCAACCATTTGGTGGG